TTTTTATGAAGTGCAATATTAATTTGCTGTTTCTCCTAATAAACTCTCTATACAGGGTGTCCCTTTCTAAGTGGACCAGTCTTATTGTAATAGGTACAGTCCTTGTAAATCAATCAGATATTATTATTATTATTATACAAAATGTATATAATGCCAACAGTTCATAACATAAGGGCAGACAGTACAATTACAATACAATTTAGCACAGTAGGAATCAGAGGGCCCTGGTCATTAGAGCTTACAATCTAAGAGGGTCAAGGGATACAAAAAGGTAATAACTGTGAGGGATGAGCTGATAGAGAAAATAAAAGTACATTTGGTATGTAGGGGCAGGAGGAAGCCTCCCTGAGAAGAAAGGTTTCCAGGGGTCATCTAAAAGTAGACAGAGAAGGAGAAAGTTGGACAGAGTGGGGTAGGGAGTTCCAGAGCATGTGAGAGGCTTGGGAGAAGTCCTGGAGGCCAGCATGGGAGGAAGTGACAAGGGAGCTAAAGAACAGGAGGTCTTGGGAGAAACAAAGAGAACAATTAGGTTGGTATTTTGAGAATAGGTAAGTGATGTAGCTGGGGGCCGAGTTGTGGATGGCTTTGAAAGTTGTTGTTCGTATTTTGAATTAAATTTGTTGGGTGAGGGGAAGCCAGTGGAGGGAGTAGCAGACACTGAGATATCCATCCTTCTTAGAATAAATTAGAGGTATCATTTAAAGATACTTACAAATGCTTTAAATGTGATAGATTCCCAGTTCCCTTGACAGATTCATTGGCACTAAGCAATGTCTGCACATAGGTCTCACATGATTGTAACCTATCTGTCCTGTTTCAAAGACCTTGTGGATAGGACCATTTCCCTGCTTTAACCACTGAATTTCCTGTCATTCAATGTAAAAATTGTTCTAACTGTACATTGGAGAGGCAGTGTGGGCAAAGAAAAGAACAGATTGGCTTTAAATCTTTAACATAAAGGAAATAAAACCTGTTCTGCAGTAAAGGTAAGTTTTTTGTAAAATATGAAATATGATGTTACGCCAAGTAAATAGATACCTTTCTACGTATCTATAGATACCTATGTCATGATTTAAATTGTACACACTCATGGCGCCAAAGTATGGTACTTAAAAAATCTCCATTGCAACACTTTAAAAATATCTACAGGTTACCAGTTCAGAGTTACAGAGGCTGTCTAGTGCTAGAATTATAGCTCTCGCTCTGACGTCCATGGCTATTCACATGTGTGGTGCAAACACTGTTTACATATGTGGGTATGAACTAAGTTTGTGTTTACCACTCTGCACGAACACTGGGAGAACGGGGGAGCTTTAAAAAATATTTTTGAATAATTATTTTATTACCTTTTTTAGTTTTACACTGCCCCTTTAATTTTTTTAATTGCTTTTATGTAAATATGTAATGTAAACATCCACTGCGATAACAATACAGCATGACAGGTCCTCTTTATGGAGAAATCTGGGGTCTTTAAGACCCCAACCTCTCCTCTACCTTTAAAAGCAGAAGATCAAAAACTTTTTTTGTTCTTTGGCTTTAAAAAAAAAATGGCATTGTTGACATGGTGCCGGAACCAGAAGTGACATCATGACGTCACTTCAGTCCTCCTAGGCCATAAAGATGAGTGAAGGTCATCTTTCCTTCATTCATCTCTTTGTTTAGCTGCTTCCCGCTCTGGATCAGTTCCTGGAGATACCGATCATCCAGGTAAGCCCGAGAACCACTGGAAAGCTGCAGGATGGGGCAAATCTCCCACCGCTTCTAAAAGTGATTCAGCAGTGAATCTGCCAATCGGATCACTTTTAACAGAAAGTCCAGTGCCTGAGGGAAGAAATAATACTGGAGTTATAGTATCTAGCTGCAGCCATAACCCCAATATTGAAAGTCAAAGTAATGACATATTTTCCCAGTTAAGCGGTCAGCAAGTGGGTATTACACTTCACCCAAATCTAAAAAATTTGTTTCAGTAGGCTTCTTTTTCTGACAGGTATGCTAGTGTCCCTTGGCATTACAGTTTACAATATTGTAATTTCTAGGCTGGATGAAAAGTGTAGTGTGGTTGGCTCTAACCTTTGAAGGGAAAAATCTGACTTTCTGAGGGACTGTGAGGAGGCTCATAGAGCCCAGACCTGGACAAAACTCAGTAGCATTAAAATCAATGAAAGTACTGTATGTGTTTCTTAAAAATGACCTATTTGTTCCTAAATGGGGCGTACGGACTACAACCTACTAACTCTACAGTGATATAGTCTTTAAGTGAGTTTAAGAGGTATAAGTGGTGAACTGGGATGGCATTGAGGAGGGTGAGTTCCAGGTAGTTTCACCTTCCACCTCATAGTCTAGGCCACCAAACCTCACTGGACTATTTCAAACATGTATTACTGTTCTACGGTATCCTTTAGTATATAACTCTGCTACTGTTGTAATTGGATGTCTTAAAATGCTGTACCTAGCCAGAAAACATTTTTTTTTCGTAGAGTATTAATCTATATAAACATAAGATACCTGCAATCTTGACAGGTACGGACTACAGCTGGACCTCAGATAGGGCATCAAAGATGATTTAATTGAACCAGTAGAGAATAGGTAAAAGTGGGCAATCTTCAATGTGACACCTTAAATGTGACTGGACCTGCTTAGCAGAGGACTCTAAATGTTTTCTTCCGTAAAATGCAAGAGACACAATTCAAATGGTTTCATAGCTCACTGTACTCTTTTTCCCCAAATGTCATCAAGTTCCCCAATCCACCTACTTGGGTTTCCATGTTCCACAATTCCAATTGCCACCGTGTGTGTGCACCCAATGTAGTCTTCCTTAACTGTCCATGCATGGCAGACAACCTGCTAACAAAACTTGTGATCTCTCTTACAGTAGCACACACAAAGGTGACTGCAAAGGAACCTACAAAAAAAAGGAGGCACCTGGGAAAAGGAGACTTTGGGCAGAGATTTTCGATATTGCTGAATTAGGAAGAAAGCAAAACTTCTAAAGAAGACAAAGGAGCAAACAATTTAAAGCAGAGCTTCACCCTCTCAATCAACAATGACTATTTTTAATCCTTATGCTGCTAACATTAGTACATACATAGGAATGTATATCATATTTACTTGTTTTAAACTTTTTTTTTACATTTCTTCATTTAGTTTCCATACCTAAACAAATGATGCCATACATCCCAGGAGTCTTCAGGAGGGGAGGTTTCTTCATCTAAACACACCCTCCTGTCTGCATGGCTGAACTAAGGCCAGATGGATTCCAGGAAGTAATTGCTACATGAATCATCTGTCCTTACTCAAGATGGCCACAGACAGAAATAGTGATTTCTCAGCAAAATGAAGCATGTAGACCTAGATGGATGAAGGAGTTTCCTCTGAAAATTAAAAATGAATGAAACAGCATTTTTGGTTTGTGGTGCTCAGATACAGTGAAATTTTGCTTTGAGGCTTGGTTCACCATAGAGCTGTTTTGTGGACCAGAACATTTGAATAGGTTGCTGTGCCTCACAAAACGCAGGGCTGCTGTGCCTCACAAATGAAGGGAAAAGGTCCCTAAACCTTTCCAGAAATCACTGCACGGTTTCCAGTGCGGGCAGCATGCCATTAAGATTAAGATTGGGTCCTGTGTTTTGCGTGCGGGTGGTTGCAGCTGTGGGAAGAAATGCGTGTCCGCACTAGTGTGAATGTAGCCTAGGTACCTAGGTCAGCTGCTAGAATTCCTAATAATATGTTAGGATTTAATAACACTTTACACCCCGGTCACTTCGGGTGCGACTTGGCATGCGATTTGCATGCCATATGACTTGCAAATCGTATGCCAAGTTGCACCCTATTGTCCGCAATTAGAGCGGTCTAACTTAGTCGGAGCCGCACCAATTACTAAAGTAGTACACATACTACTTTTGGAGCGATTTGCATAGACATTTGTGTCAGATGTCTTCCAAATCGCACCTGAAATCTGCATCTCACCTGACCTTGAAATCATGTGACTTCACCGTAAGTCACATGATTTCAAAGTCGGGCTTTATGTGACTGGGGACTAAAACCTAAGAACTAATTAAAAACCATAACACATTTGCAATCTTAGAAAAAAAGTGTGTATTTAATATCCAGGAAAAAAGTATAGCCTGTTTCTAAAAATCCAGATTTACTATTACAGACCGCTATTGTTTCTCTGCAACCATACTAGCTCTGTGAATTACGATAAGAGTACATTTAAGAGCTCACCAGGACATCAAGCACACCTAAAACAACTAAGGACATGACAGAAAGAACAAGGAAATGTGGAACTGTACTACCGTTACACAAGCTAATCATTTGAAAAATGAGCTTTTTTGTTAATAATCTGATCAAGATTTTAAAGCCTATTAGCCACAGTGAATTCATTATACAAATTCCTACAGTAACACTTTATATAAATCATTTCTGACTAATCACACAAAACATTTATCAAGTTGTGGCGAGTGCAGAACATTGAGCACTGTTATTTGGACACCTAGAAAACTGCTGTGCAGATGAACTACAGTACCAATGGTTATAGTGAAATATATAGGATTCCACATTGAGCTGACAATTCTTTTAAATATTAATATCAGAAGGAATGTATATTACTTGCCTTTTTGCAGACATTAATACTGGCTCCGCATTCAGTCTTCCAAGTTAAAGGGCTCTTGGTGGTCCCAATAAAAACAACAAGGGCCGCAGCCAAAAAAACCTATATGCTACTGCAGGTACTATTATTTTTTATCAGTGCACAGCAAAACTAAAGGGAATGTATGGCTGAGAGCAGGGGCGAACTGACAACTCATAGGGCCCCTGTGTCCTTGCCCAAACTCAAAAAAAGCCTATGCAAAAGGTACCAGGGGCATCTCATGGGGCCCCCTACTGACCCCGGGCCCTCGGGCAGTGCCCGAGTTTCCAAATGGTCAGTCCGCCCCTTGCTGAGAGTATGGCCCAACAGTCCAAAGAATGCTTGAAAGACACAGTAATGGGAATACATATCAAGCACATCATTTTACACCTGTGTGAATTGGGTCTAAAAGAAACAGGTGTAGGGGCGGACTGACCATTTGGAAACTCGGCACTGCCCGAGGGCCCGGGGTCAGTAGGAGGCCCCATGAGATGCCCCTGGTACCTTTTTCATAGGCTTTTTTGAGTTTGGGCAAGGACACAGGGGCACCATGATCCCCTATTGCCCGGGGGCCCCATGAGTTGTCAGTCCGCCCCTGAACAGGTGTTTGTTATTTAAAGTACAGTATATCTAACACCAAAACATTTTTAGCATTGATTATAAGCCCTGTCAGTTTTTTGCCATCTATGTTCCTTTGTGAAGATTTACCTTCACTTAATGTCCAAGCAGTGCCGAGGCAAGGTCAACTAGAGCCTAGGACGAACATGCGAAATTGCGCCCCCCCCCCCCCCCCCCAGATGTATGAGCATTATGTGTCAGCAAACATCTTTTCCCACCACAAAAGAAATCAAGCCTAATCTGCATGCTAACCCCATTCTCCCAGTACAAATCCACCTCCCTGCTGAAATCCCCCCTCCCAGTACAAATCTTTCCCCACCACCACCATCCCCTATAGCTCAAATCCTCTCTATCCCTATAAGCCCCCATCTCAAATCCCCCCCCCCAAAAGCACAAATACACTACCCTTCAAATTTTCCCTCTGAACACAAATCCTCCTTCACTCCAAAACCCCCTTCCACCACAAATTCCCATCCCCTAATCCCCTTCCTAGCACAAATCCCCGCTCCCCAAAAAAACATTTCCCTCCTAGCATAAATCCACTCCCCCTCACTACCATATTACCTTTTCTATAACAAACCACCTCCCCCAAATCATCACTCCTAGCATATCCCCCCAAATTTCCCTATTTCCCTTCCTAGAACAATACTTACCCCCTGACGTCCCCCAAATTTGCCCTCCCAGCACAAATCCCCTGCCCCCAATCTCCTCGTGGTGCCCCCCCCCCAAACTTATATGACACCACAGTGCCCAGGGCAGCTGACCCTCCTGCCCACCCCTTGTCCTGACTCGGTGTCCAAGGGACACTTTAAGAAATAAGAGGAAATCTCTCCAAGGGAGTGTGTGTGTGGGGTGGGTTCCCGTCTTGTAATTAGAACAACCATTTTCATTGGAATATTTCCCCTTTATTCTTGTTTATTCATTGTATTCTAACAGTGGGGAGACTTCCAAGCTGTCAGAATACATTAATCAGAGATGCAAGCTGTAGCCTGTAGTCCTGATCAAATGGAAATTTTACAACAGGGCGGTTGAAAAGAAGTCGATCTACTTAATAAAGTTATGCATGTATAAGCACTGTGGTTGAACAGAAGTTGATGTTTTCCATGTTCAACAACAGTGCCCATGTAGATGGGGCCTACTGTGCTAAAGTGAGGACCTGGAGATAGTGCTCACTAGTGCCCCCAAGGGTAGGGCTGAGGCTGCCCTTAATGCTGGAAGGCTGGCATTAGGGCTGGTAGAACTCCAAATTAACCTCCCTGGCAGTATGATTATTTCAGATTTTTGGTGCTGAAAGAGGTACCATTATTTTGCATGGAAATATGTAGTTTTTTTTTTTTATTGTAGGCCTGTCATTTTTAGGAATAACTCACTGAAATCTGTCCGAACAAGAGTCTAGTAAACATTCCAGGATATGATAAAACTTGAAACACGAAATCATAAATGATAATTTAATAAATAATCATAAAAAATAATAATATAATAATAATAAATTTAATTCAATAATATAATCAAACCAAAAACACTGAAATTTGAAATATAGCGCCAAGTTCGCACATCGCTGAGCAAAGTTGCAGAATCGTTTACAGTGTCCGATGACGAATTTCCCCACGAATCATTATCACTCAATTCTACAAGTGGTTCTAATTTACTATCGCTGTTCTCTAGCTGGTCTAAAACCGATTTTGACCTAAAGGGACGCTTTTTGGACACCATGGACTTTTCCCAGTTTCCAGGCAGAAAGAACAGTCAAAATGCAGGCAGGGCACAGGACAAAGCAGTAGGGACAAAATGTATGTGAAATGCTTTGAAACAGCAATGTTTTGCTATGTAATAATCGTTTTTAAAAAAATGACATTTTTTAAAACTTTCAAATTTGCTGCCGGTTCCGGCACCCGTACGTCCCGACGTCACAGGGACCGCAACACGGAAGCCAGATGCTGGCATCGGCCGGAGGAGATGGCCGGGGACGCTGCAGGGGACACATCGCGGGAGCGAAGGACAAGGTAAGCGTTGCAGGGAATCCCTGAGCAACACCATATGGTAAGCCCGAGTGTAGCTCGGGGTTACCGCTTTTGGTACTGAAACTTTACCCCGAGCTACACTCGGGAATGCCGCCAGGGAGGTTAACCACTTGACGTCTCCCCTATTGCAGTTTTACTGCGACAGGGCGGACTCCCTGCGCAAAATCACGTATATAAACGTGATCCTCACTCCCGCCGTTTTCCCGGGTCATGGACGCGCACGCGCTGTGATTTGGTACAGCACCGATCACTCATCAGACCTGCTGATCGGTTGTACCGAATCAGAGATCATCCTGTGCCTGTGTTTACAGAACACAGTCACAGGAAATGATGCAATCTTCTCTCCCTGGAGCACATTGCGTTCCAGTGAGAGAAAAAACAGATCTATGTGAGTACAAGCAGCACACTGACACCTAAAACACATAGTTAGGCACTATTTAACCCCCTGATCACCCCCCTGTTAACCCCTTCACTGCCCTGTCACAGTTGTAATTATTACAGTGTACCGATTTTTTTTTTGATCACTGTATTAGTGTCACAGGCAACTTCAGATAGTGTTAGCGTCAGTTAGCGTTCCTCCCAGTTAGTGTCAGATTGCCCGCCACTACATTACCATAACATTTAACCTTTTGATTGCCAGGAACATGCTCACATGCACACTATAATTCTTCACTGCTAGTTTTGTGTCTGAACAATCAGAGCTAGTGTCCACAATAGCATAGTGTCCCCAAAAATGCAGCATTAGCAGGATCATTCCCCACAATTGCCAGCACCTGTGTTTATCCCCTGTGCCCCCCCCCCCCCCCCCTCAAGTGTAGTGACAGTAAATCACTGTCACTTGATACATTACACACAAAACTGCTGCGTTAGCAAGATCAGACCTGATCTCTGCTAGCACTAACAGGTAATTTTTTTGTAGCGGTTGAAGCAGTCCCTGACAGACAGGTGCTCTTTTTTCCCGTCAGTCGCACTAGGTACCTATAAATTCAGTAGCCAAAATATTCAACGAAAGGTACACTAGTGAAGATGCCTACATGATTCTGAGTATGTCAGATGAAAGCGAAGGGGAAGCTTCACTGACAGAATCAGGCTTAGAATATGAACCTGTGGAGATCAGCGGCACCATAACAGAAAGCTCAGACAATGGAAAAGAGGTCCCTGCTATGTCGTACCTGAACCCGTGCCCAGGTTGCTGAGGTGTTAAAATTGTATTATGATTCTCATATGCAGTGCCAGTGCCAGAGTGCCAGTATTAGTGCCGCATTACCTTTGGTGAACTGGTGAACACCATCAGCCTAGTACATCCTGGTATTTTACATACTAGCACTGCAGTATCACTTGGTGACGTGGCAAGTCTCATAAGTGTAGTACAAGCTGGTGCAGTGGCTAGCGCAAGTAGTGTCCCACAGCCACCACAAATTCAAGCACAGGCCTATAGAGCCCATAGTGTCCTTCCGAATATGCTTGCAAATCCTGATTGGCAGCCAACAATTCTGCAACACCCGTACTTCACCCATTTACTGTCCAACCCGGAATTCAGGTGGAAACAGCAAATTTAACTACTCCCCTTGATTTTTTTAGAGCTGTTTTTCATGGAAGATCAGTATGGATTGATTATGGGCCAAAGCAATTTATACGCACAACAATTTATCGCTGCCAACCCAAATTCAAAACCGTGCCAGACCATTTGCATGGAAACCTATTATAGTTTCCAAGTTTAAAATTTTTTGGGGCCTAATGCTCAACCCTACTAAAAGAATGAGTTACGGTCATATTGGTACATAGACCCAATTTATCATATGCCCGTGTTCTCTGCTGTCATGACCAGATTTACGAGGGAAAGCACGTGGAGCACCCTGGATGCCCAGACTACATGGAGAGCAGTGGCAAGATAGTTTGGGACTTGGTGCCACCCTTTATCCTCATGGGTACCACTTATATGTGGACAATGTTTATATAAGCATGCCACTATTTAGACATTTGTACAATCCTGGAATTGGCTCATGTGGCACTGTGCAATCTAATAGCTGGGGCTTCCCCCAACTGCTCGTAAATTCCTGGCTTAGAAAGGGTGAAAAAGCCTGCTTGAGAAATAATAAATTGCTTGCAGTTAAGTGGAAGGACAAACGGGATTTTTTCATCCTGTCTTCCATTCACACAGACATGACAGATCATCACGGCCCTTTTGTATCCAGAAGGTGCTGTGGCTCAAAACCCCAACCCAGATGCAATGAACCAGCTGCTTGAGAGGCATTTTCCTGATGCCATTCCTGGTACCCCAGCCTAAAAGTCACCCCAAAAAAGATTTGTCTTTAGCAGACACGGAATTAGACACGAGACACAGTTTTTTTGTCCCTCCTGTCCTGGCCAACCTGGTCTCTGCTCAAGAACTGCTTGAGTCGCTACCACACACTAGTGGAGTATTAGTATAGGGTACAGCATGGCACAGTCTAGGGTGCACATTTACATAGAGTTTTGAAAGATGTTAGATAGGCAACTGGCTATCGCATTTTGAGAAATCATAAAATCAGTCTGGAAAGTTTACAAAGTTACAAAAAAGCTAAAGAAAAGTTTAAAGAGTTCTCAGCCACAGGTAAAAAAAGAACATATATGCCCAAGCATGGAGTCCTGGGGTGGGTCAGTGGGTGGATCACTCCTATGCCTCAGCATATTTATTTATTTAAATTTTTTTGGCAGAGATTCCTTCATCCACATAGATCGATGTGAATAGAGTAATCTGTTAGGCTCTATTTTGTAGTTCAACCCACGGGCTGAATGAAAAAAAAAAAAATTTTCATGTATGCCCAACATTAGAAGTAGGTGAATGCAGGGAGGTATATTCTAATATTGAGCATACAACACTCTTTTTCTGGCGGAGATTTCGCCTCTTTTTTCATTCAGCTCACAGGCTGCATACAAAAAAAAGCATAACAAATATGCCCAACAAGGACCAGCG